TCGATTAATAATTCACACAACAGCACGACGTGTACTGCCACCGCGCACGTTGCATGCAATTATCGTCGCGGATCTACTCTTGTAAAAACACCACCAGTTATTTTTTACCACCTTTTTAGAGTGCCGCCGCCGCAGCAGCGTGTTTCATTCTTTGGCGCGCGATTCGAGATTTTGATACTGAAAGCCGCTTTCATACAAAAAGAGAGGGAGAACGATTTGTAGAAACGGTGGCTGGCTTTGAAAAAGCTCACTTTTGATATATCTCGACGCATATTATTTCAATTTGCAGCGAGTTCGCAGAAAGCTTCAGAATTCACGACGTCAAATGCGGCAGAGGAAAAAGAAGTTTCTTTTTCATATTCTTTTTGAGGGTGTATCACTTTTTTCTGTGAATATGTTAGGTACAGTGTCTGTTCAGTGTGTAATTTCTCCGCGTACACCTACACACCGCACATTAATAAGAATCTGATACCGAGAGCATTCATAATGGATGGGCGCACAAAAGAGCTACGCTACATGAAGAGATTGGAGATATTTTGTATTTCAACAATAGACTGCGGTTTAGTTATAAGCAAAAAATTGGAATAAAGCTGTCAAAATATTTCATACTGACATTTTATTGATGGAATTTTTCAACTTTTCATCTGAATTAACACGACAATTCTCGCTGACGGATGGGACACAAAATATAACATTTATTAATTTGGAATTCAGAAACACTGAGATAAAACGATTAGTTAATTTATTAATTACATTAATTTTTAATTTCAATGTGTCCATATTATAACATCAAAATTTTGAATTTAAACTTTTCTTGTGAAATACAGCTACAATTTTTATCCTTATTTTTTTCTTTTTATTTATTTTTTTTAATCTAAATAATTTATACAATTATAACTTCTTTAAAAATAAGGAAGGGAACAAATCATCAATTGAATTTCATGATTAACACCTAACGTGCCAATATTTTGGCGAAATGTTTATCTTGACCTTTAGTTTTTCTTTTTATCCACTAATTTAAAAAAAGGATATTTATTTGTAATTTTCAACTTTCAAAATTCAATCAAAAGTTTTGGCATAATTTTGTTTCAAACATTAAAAGACAAATCCAGCAGCACACCTTTTGAAAAAAAAATCATCAAAAGAAAAATAATATGGTAAATATCAATTTCTTACAAGTTGAAGAAAAAAATTGCAAATAACAGGATTGTTTCTACTCTATATACTATTATTATTGCATTGCTCTCTCCCTTCAGGCGTGTCGTCTCCAAATTAAAAACTCACGTTTTGCTTTTTCCCTTCCGACAAAAGGCCACTTTCATCTCCGCCCTTTGTGAATGTCTCTCTCTTTTTTTTTAATTTATTTAATCAGATAGAGCCCAGAAAATAATAATAGCTGAGCAGAAAAGTCTGCCGTTGGCACCGAGGGCAATAACAATAACATTATCGGTGTGCGCTGTTGTATATATGCGGCGTCTGTGTTTGTGTTTGCGATCGTATCCCCCGCTTAAAATTTGAACGTACCTGCTGCACAAAGAGAGAGAGTGCACCGTGTATTTGCTCGGCGGTTAATTTGGCCGCTTTTTGTTCACCTCGAAATGTGCCATTGTTTCCCGAAACCCTTTCTTTCCAACGAGCTTCTTTATCTGGAGCCGCCCCGCCCCGTGGCATTTGCATTATTCGCCCCGAAAGTTATTGGGAGTGTGTTTCGGAATTGAGCATAAAGAGATCCAGAGATCTCTTGCCTCAGATATATATTACTTTTGCCATTCACTACACATCTGCCCTTCCTCCTTTATTCGCTCACTCTCCGCTTTTCGCTTCATTTATCTCACCTTTGGCTACAATAAAGCGGCACAAAGACTTCCAAAATGTGCTCGGACGAGCGCGTTTCAAACACTGCCGCGCCCGTTTTCTGCTCTCCTCGGGCGACGAAAGGAGTGAGATCTGCTGACATTAGGATGGTGTGTCGAGATTTGATTGCTGTTGACAAACGGACCAAAAAATGAAACAAGTCGCACACCCGAGTTCAAAGAGCTGCGCACGCATTTGAGCAACGAAGAATAAACATTCGCGCCTTTCAAATATACCGTGATATGAAGCTTTATTTCTCAAGCGTGAATTTCCCACAAGCAACTTACGTGTTGAACAATCACAGGATAACTAAAATCTTGGTATCATCAATGATAGTTAACAGATTGACAAAAGGGTTCTTGTTAGGAAGCAAATAAAAACCAATTATTAAATGGATTAAAACTATTATGAGCTTTGTAAAGTTTAGTATTCCATTGAGAGTTAATGCGACTTCTGATATGTATAAATTTTCCAACCAAAACATGAACTGATCTAACTGATCTAGATCTAAATTGAGAGTAGGATCTAGATTAGCTACAAGAAAATATATTTGGAGAAAATATGTAATATTAGAATCAATTAGAATGGTTAAAAACTGCTTCAAACGTGATTAAAAATGTATATTAAACGAAAGTATGTTTAATAAAATTTAAAATAATTATAAAAAAAAAATTACAAAAGTAATTTGAAACAATAATAAATGTAATTTAAATGATAAATGTTTGGGTAATATTTATCTTTAAATAATATTAAATAATTTTAAAACGTACTTTTTTTTTAAAATTTTATGATACAGTAATTTCACATTTTTTCAAAAGCAACGCCAAAAATTCAGTGTTAGGATCAGACAGTCATTTTCATCCCGATCGTATAATTTAACAGTTGATTATGTACATAAAATTCCAGTACAAATAAGATGTCATTGAGCAGCCATTCATTTTGATGGATTCTCTCATAAGAAGAAATTACTTTTGCATAAATTTTTGCTTCCCTTAATTTGACATTTGTAATTTAGTTATAAATTTTTTGATAAAAATGATCGACATTCAAATATGAATAATCCAGAAATAAGTTGACTTATGAATAAATAATTTTTTTAGGACTATGGAAACATTGAGCATAATACAATATTGTTTTAAACAAAATCAACATTCAGGTAGTCCATAATTGTTAATGAACACGCGCGTTTTGACCGCAAGACCCAAACTAAAGCTTCCTTTCCACAATAGAGAAGTTCGCACAAGTGGCCCACGAACAATTTGGCATGCACAAAACCTGCTTCAGGTGGTCTCACTGGAATATTTCTGAATATGTCGAGAAGGGTATTATTGTATAGCACGGTATGGAAAAGTCAGTGGCCGCTCGCTCGCTCGTGGGACACAAAAAGCCAAACTATTCATGCAAAAGGTAAGCTGGCGAGCACTTAAAGTGGGGCCTGGGCCGAAATCGTGTGTGCCGTCAGCAAACAACTCGAAATCTTTTTCCAGCGCCGGGTATAGGAAGATATTATGCGCCTAGTCAGGGTACATTATGTGAGTGCAGCTTGCATAGCACGCAGGGGTTATTTTCCGAATGTTTGAACAAGGAGGAAATTATTACGCTTGTAGCTGGATGAGAGAGAGGGGCGGCCACAAAACAATGTTTGTTATCCAAAGTAAGCATTTCACGGATAAGTGCAAAGTCAGCGAATTTTCTGTGAAATCATCATCAGCTTTTTATACTTATTTATCCCAGCCACGCGCATATATTTGAATTTATTATTCAGCGGAAAAGTTTTCGCCATTGTTTCAGCGCTGACTGAGAGAGGAAAAAATAATATATGGGGTCCCACATTTCGTCAAAAATATTTTATGCCAGAAAAAACAAAAATGTTTAAAAATGCAAAAATTTGAAATATAACACGGAAATTTCAGGATAATTTCAACTTTCAGATTTCAGAAGTATATTTGGAGAGCTTTAATCAGATATAAGAACAAAAAATTTTATTGTTGCTGTAAAAAATGGAATTAGTTTTTGCCTAAAATGTTATTTTTAAATATTGTATCCCCCAAAAAATTACATAATAATAAAATTTCCAAGTAAAATATTATTAAATAATATTATAATATTTTTTCACTATAAAAAATCTTCTCTCTTTTATAAGCAAACATTATTTCTTACATTTTTTATTCCCTTTTTCTAAAAAAAAATGGCGACCCAAGCGAACGTCCGGCAGCAGTTTTGCATTTTATTTTTCCACTTGCAACTCTCCGTGTCGCCTTTTGCTCGCTACGCACTTTGCAAACTTTTTGTCGTGCAACGCGAGCCTCGCTGCTCTTTATTATATTTTGCTACCCTGGAGATTTATTTATTCTGCCGACGGTGTTTGTTTGTTTGTTTGTTTTTACGGCGCGACGAGAGCCCAAGCTCATCATTCACGCGAATTTTTACAACTGCCTCGGAGTGTATTTAATTCAAAATTCTCAAGCCTGACTATACGAGTAGAGAGTAAGGGCGAGAAGCACTTTCATTAAAAAACGGCGACGACTCCTCTCTACGGTGCTGCACCTTTGAACATTCATAAAAAAGAGACACACGCCGTCGCCATTATGCTTTTCAAACGTTTTTAAATAATTACACTCTCTCGGCCCGAGTTTTGTTTTGCAAAATGTATTCCCTTTGGCTGCGCCGCGACTGTAAGATAAAATTTATGAGATTCTCTCTGCTCTTTTTCTACCGGTGGTGCAGCCGTGGAGAATTGCCAAAATAGATTAGGTCTCTTAAAAATCCGACTTGACAATACAGTAAATCACGAGAGGTGAATAAATTTGTCCGTAGCCGCGCGGATAAAATACTAATTGCTGATGGAGTTGTTTATTTCGTTCCTTTGCCAATCGGTGATGTGTTTGACTCGGAGCGAAATCGTTCATCATTCAACGGAAACGGTCGTGCTTGGAAATAAAAAATGAGAGGCATAACTCCCAATTCGCAAAACAACAAATGTCGAGAGAAATATAGGTATATTTTGCATTGGTTTGAAAGCAACCCACGCAGAACTGTTGATTAATTAGTGCCAACGGCGACTTGTAGTAAAAAATCGTTTCGGAGACGCGCAAATTTTGGCCAGTGATATAGAAAAACAGATGATATATGAGACGTGTACTTACGATTTGATGTTCCTTGTAGTTGCAGAACCGGTGTAGAATTTCCAGCTGCGAATCAAAAGGAAAATTACATTAATAATTGAAAATTTTACATAAAGAAAATGTGATTTACTATTTAATTTGGGCCAATTTCATCAATTTTCATCAACTACTCCTTGTTTAATTTGTATTTTTAGATAATCAGTATTATTAAAAAGCTCATTATTTTTCCTTTAATGCAGAGAAATCAATTCAAAGCTTTAAAGCTGTAAAAATTTAACAAAATTCTATATCTACTCTGTAATCTAGCAAATTACATAATGACAAATTATCTATCCTTTGACAATATTTTTTTAATTGATGATAGAATTTCAGAAATATTTATAATATTTTTCTTCATATATCTTTCTTTCAAAAATTTGAAATCGTTTTCCTCTGAAAAAGATAAACAGATGAATTTTTTTAGTAAGCATTTAACTATTCAGTCAAAATAAAAGATATCTCTATTTTTTTTTTCAAATAAAAAATTTATTATTAAAATAGCTTATAACTATGTGAATTTATCAATAAGTAATCTGTTAAATATCTGTTCAGAAAATATATAAATAAGATGTGGTGAAACGGTGCTGAAATCATGAGGGGTGGTTATAAATTTACGCAGTTTTCCAAACTGACGATTCCGAGCTTTTGAAACTAATGAGCGTTTTCCTATCCGATTAAAATGGTGCATCGCGTCTGCAGCATGCTCGACTGCGGTCAGTGCGGCCTTTATTCTCATTAAAATCAGGAAACCGACGGCGGAAGACGAGCGGAGAGCAGCAATTGATGAGCTCTCTGGGCAAAGAATAAAACGGAGACGGACAGAACGGAGAAATGCAGCATGTGTAGGAAGAGAGGGCGGAATAATAATAAATCTCCTAGAAAGAAAAGCAAGTCTTTTGAAGTGAGCTGGCAAATAAACCGACCTGCTTTGATAAAAAGTAATATTGTTAGAGACGCCGGGCCAATGTACATGGGTTTTGTGCATGGACGGACAAAAAACTCGTGTTCAGCGTTTTGGAGATTTACCGCCCGAGAGTGTTTTTATAGCGAGGAAAAGATGAAAATTGTTGACAAAAATGCATCTTGGAAAAACCTTCGCTAAATGACATTCTGCCGCCTCTTTTACTTTTTTCCTTCTTACCGGCGTCACGCACAGCGCAATAAGAGTGTGCCGAGATTTTATTTTATTTCTGTGCGCACACAAGAAAGGCTGCGAGCTTTTTCCTTCTCTCGGTTATATTATTATTCGCCAAAGGTAGAGAGAGACGCGCTCTTTGAATTCTCCCTCGCTCGAATTGAAGCATTTTTCGTCTCCTCATTCTTTCTTCGCTCTCTTTATTATACAAACTTACGTGCTAAAAGCTTTTTTTATTCTGTTGAATCGGATTGAAAGTGTAACTCAAATGGAACTGTGAGAGTGTGTGAACCGTATAGAATGGACCCCCTAGGACATCACGCATGCATTCTTTAGGCAGTGAAAAAAAATGTCACATGTGGAAATCAACACACGTTTACATACCAATGGTCACACACACCATATTCTTAATATGCCAGGAAAACTACCAGAAAGAATTTATAAAAATATTTACATCATTCTAGGCTTTGGAATTATGAGTATGAAAATGTTTCAAAATATTCTGTTTCTCAATTTACGTAACAACTTTATTTATACGTTTTCCCTAATTTTCCGAGTTTTAATTGAATTTTTTATTCTTTGTGACTCAAAAATATTAATTTCTCAATTTAAAGTGTCAAAATTTTGGTTTGTATTCCATTCTTTAAAGCCAAGTGTTTCTCACACAGTTTCAGTAAATCCACGTAAAAACCTCTTAAAAATTAAACCCTGAAACTGCTTTACTCTTAACAACACAAACAAAACACTAATCTACACTAATTACAGCAGAAAAAACACACGCACACTAAAAATTATCTGAGAAATAATCATTCAGGTTTAGTTTTCCAGTTACAATATCAGATTTTTTTTAATAAATTTGTAATTTTATGTTTAACATTTAAAAAATCTATTTAGATACATCAGTGAAACAAAGAAAGATAAAATCCTTGTTGATCAACTGTTTAATTCAATAAATTGTTTTCCATCAATAAACATGAAGGGAAATTTATATACATTTACAATCCATAATTATTGAGTAAACTATAAATGTTCAATTAAAAATATAAAAAAATTAGAGTTAAAATTTATATAAATAAGAAAAATTATAAATTAATTTAATATAATATTGTAAAATATTTTTAAATATTATAAAGTTTTTTTTAATTTAAAATAAAACTAAAAACTTTATAAATATTTAACTTTTAAAAAATTAATACAAAATTTTTCTAATGCTTTATTCATGTAACGAAAAAGTGCATCTTTACATCACAGGAAAACCATTATTGGGAGGATACATTGATTTGTTTGTAAAGCAAAGATTTTGTTTTTACTCCAAAAATAAAAAAGACCGCTGCCTTGTATTTAAAACTTCTCTACTTATTGCTGCGGATTAATATACAAGAAACTGAAAATTCCTCCATTTCGAGTCAGAAAAGAAACTTGGCACCAACTAGATCCCTCTGAAACCAGACGCTCTTTTTTATTCGCGCGTTTTTTTTTTCGTGCAAAATTTATGCGGTGCCAGATAAAGCCACCTGCGAGAGTGGTCCCCGGTCTGCAATTTGGTCGGCGAGAACAAGTCGTGACTTCACGTGGTCGGCATTTACTGGGGACCATCAAGTACGGCACACCGACGAGCTAGACGTTGACCCGGCCAGAGTGACCTTTGGAGAACCCTGCTGCGTGCGAGCAGCGAATTCTCAAAGGGCTGATTTCTCGCTCGTGCGCGCAAAAAAAATATTGTTTTCCTCTAATGACTGTGAAATGAAGTCATTAATATTCGCTGCGGGCTCGGCGCGGCGTAATTGACGGGGCAGACAAAAGGAGGAATTCATTAATAGATTGATATGGGCCGCGAGTGGCAGACACGAAGCGTTTCAATCAGCGGCCCACCGTGGCGCACGAATTTTTACTGCCGTCTCTCGGCCTCTCGTGATGAGGATGTTGATTGATCTTAATTGCGGTGAATTTCAAAGGTAAAATAAAAATAAATTAAACTGAAAAAAAAAACGAAAACAAAAATTTTCTCTTTTAAAGGATTTCATGAGTAATTATCATTTAATTATTTAATTTGAAAGAAATCAGAAATTTAAAATCTTAAAAATATAATTTTTAAACATGGGGGTTCAGTGAAGAGCAGCCTTTTCCCGCCAAAATCATTTAAACCTTGATGTGAATTTTGATATCAACTTCTCAAAGTAATATTTTGGTTCAAGTTAATTATTTAAAAAATCTAAGTATAAATTCTTTTAGTTCAAAAGGTGAACTTTTGATGAATTCCAATCTAATTCCTTGTGGGTCCAAATTTTTTAATCAAAATTAATAAATTCAGTTAAGAAATTCCAAGTTACTTTAAACTCTAGAATAAAAATCGTTGCTGGAGAAGGCCTTTAATTGTATCCAGATCTATAAATTTTCATTAGCTGACAAAAAAACGTTCACTAAATGTGGCGGAAAATTTGATAATTTGAAATAAATACAAAAACTTTTAATGTGAATTTCCAATTCCAGTCATAAATTCAAATTTATCATTTTTTTGTTGCTGACAAACGCCAAAAACAGAGACCGCGGCCGTTTCCCCTTTGCCCGTCGGCTTAATAACCCTTCAAAGCACGCGGCTAAGTTTAAAAAATTGCTCCTCTGTGGCGAGACACATCGCAGAGGGCAAAAAGCCCTCTCTGCGATTCGAGCGGATAAATTATGCGCGGGCGGTGCGCGACGTGAGAATTGATAAACAGGAGCCGGTTGGGGTCGAGGGCGCTCAACTGGTGAAATGCAAAAGTTTACTTTTCACCTCATAAATCTGGCCGGGTTAATTCCAGACTGGTTCGTCGTGCGATGCGAGTGCAGCGCGAGGGCAATCTGGTGACACTCGACTGGCATTGCAAATTGCACTTTACATGCATTAAAACTGCGCGCTGCCTGCCCGCTCTGTCGCCCACGTCTGCCTGCCTTTTTCATGCAATTTTAGATTTATATGTTGCTCGTGGGGCGTTGGCTGCTCGGCGCCTCTCTGCCCCCACATTCGTTTAACCGCAGCTCGAAAAAGCGCACACATATTTGTTTGGATTAGTTACATTTGCAAATGGCACTAAAACATTTTATCTTTTGGTCGGACAGAACGTCAATATTTTTTTATAATAGAAAATATTAATATTTTTGTTTAAGCTCATGAAGCGAAATTACGGTTTTAAATTGCCATACTTATTTATTTTAAAACTTTGATAGTAAATAAAAGAAATAATTTTAGTTTTAATTTATTTAAATAAATATCTTTTTTTCCAATTGAACCATAAATAAAAAATATAAAATTTTGAGGTTGCCAAAAACCATGGTAGAAATCACAATAATGATTAAAAATAAAATATAAACAAGTTGTATACAAATCACACAATATTAAATTTAACTTGAATTAAATTCTTGAAGAAGCGGGTCTTTTTTCATTCTCAATCAGTACAAATATTTAAATAAATTATGATCAAGAATAAGTAATTGCAATCAATTTCAATATAAATTTGGCTTGAAGCAATATTCGTTTGTCAGCTTAATAAAAATTATTTAAACTCTCAATGGATTATCTGAGCATCGCGGAATTGAGAATCTTTATTTGTGTTGCTTTTGAAGATCTGCAATACCTTAAGATATTTTGAAATACGAAATACGATAAGTGGCACCAACTGGCACTAGAAAACTAGAAATGATATGCGGAAAGATTCCCAATATGACATGTAAACATTATTTTCTCACGACCCAGCTCTCCACGATGCATATGTTTGGTTTGGCCATTGGTATTGTATTCTCAACATGAATATTATAAAATAAAAATTAATAAAATTCTCCGTAATTTTAATGTAAAAATATAATTTCGATTGAAACATTTTATACAAAACCTTTATTGAAAAATAAGTTATCA